AAATTTAAATGTTATGTTTGAATATTGTTTTAAAGTTGTGTATTAATATTTTAATAAAATTTATGTCCCCTGACTAATTTTCCTAGGACATCATGTCCATATCACTAACATGCCTAGGTTATAACGTCCGGCCATGTCCTTTATTTTAATAGGAAAAATTAATGAAACTTTCCAATCTTAACTAAGAAAATATGTTGTTTTTTTTATTTGCAATAATTTTTAAAATATAATAAAAATTACTAGAAAAACAAGTCTTAGGACAATTTTTTCTAGGAAAATAAGTGCCAGACATATTTTACTAGCTATGGACTTATTTTCCTAGGAAAATTTGTCCTGGGACTTAAATTCCTAGTAAAATAATGGTCATGGACTTAATTAACTAGGAAAAAAAGTCTGGCGGACAAATTTTACTACCGGACAAAATTTACTGTTACAATTTATCCTCTATATCAGGCTCTTCGTCTTTTGGATGCGGAAACAAACGATGTCTGACTTGCAAGCAAATACTGAATACCCAGACTTTTAACAGTCACTCCACTGGTACGGAATACACCATATTTTGCAATGTTAATTGCAAGACTACAAATGCTGTGTATCTTCTACAGTGTAAATGTGGTAAACAGTAGGTTGGCGAGTCAGAACAGCCATTTCACGAACGTATGAACGGCCATCGTAGCGACTATGAATGCAAGCCAGACCTTCCTCTCAGTCGACATTTGAGATCCCCTGGCCACACTAAGACGAATCTCAATCGACTGACCATTACAATGATAGACTACAACACTGCTAGGTCTAGGGAGGTTAGATACGCTCGGGAAAAATTTTGGATATGAAAATTAAAAACATTGGCACAAAATGGGATCAATGAAAAGGTGTAGTTCTGATTCGCGCAGTGCTTTTCATTTCGGTTATATTACATATTACTACGCAGTCTCTGTTGCTATTCCTTTACCTTTGTCAACTCTAAAATTCTAGAATTATACCAGTTTAAATCGCAGGGTGCTATTCATTTGAGATGTATAAATACGCAGCCACGTTCAATTACTTAACCTTTGTCAAAATTATTTTTTTTAATCATTATCAAACTGCTATCCCGTCGTCAAATTTGAAATTTGAGTATCATATCACTAGCTCAAATCGGTTAGTGCTGTTTATTGGGAATGTATTTCTACGCAGTCTTTGTTGTAATATCTTAACTTTCGTCACTTGTGAAATTTTAGAAATGTACCAGTTCATATCACACATTATTATTTTGTTAGAAGCATATCTATGCAGTCTCTGTTGTAAATACCTAACCTACGTCATTTTTGAAATTTTAGAATTGTACAAGCGTTGTTGTGTTCGGTTTTAATTGTATAAATTTAAAGATTGTTATAGTTAAATCAGAATAGATTGTTATAATTCATTTTACATCATAATCATACTGATGAAGGATATCTGTTATCCGAAATATTCATAGATAATTACATTTAATGTTTCCTTTTTATTTTAATATTGCATGGTGTTGTTTTGTACACTTTTTAGGCGTTTATATAATATATATTTATATGTGTGCTCATTGGTATAAAAAATAAAATTCATCTATCGTCTGCTAATTTGTAATCGTTCAGAAACTACGAAAAAAATATAGAATCACGCGACCTAACGTGATATGTTAAAATAATCTAATAATCTACGTATTCTAAAGCATGTAAGGATATCATGCGCATTAGGGCTATGTTAAATCTTTTAAAATACCGGATAAGATGGTTTTTAAAATTAAATAGAAAAATGTGGATCTTTGTCTGCACTGTAAACATGGTACATATTAGGGACTTTCAAAGTTTGAGAGAAGCTTTAAGCTGAGCTGTGATAGTGCTAGTATTATTTACCATTTGACCCTCTGTGGAGCGCAATGTGGCAATGCATTTGGATGATTTCATTCTTAAAGACCTCCGTGTAGTATATACGTCAAACAGCTACCACATTGTTGGCTGGTTTGTCTGCCTTTACAAACACATAACACTTTGCGAGTACTTGCTTTTATTTGCAATTCTAGAAATGGCGTATCTCTTACTCTTTTATTTTTTTATTTTTGGCATCTTTTATAACCAGTTTGAAGTAAGCACACATTAACTAGCGAACAATAAGCCAGTTGTAGGAACGGAAAAAGTGCACAGCAAAATCCAGATAAAGTTTGGATTTTAGAAACTTAATCGCATTTAACTTTTATATATCTAGGTCATGCCAGGCCTTAAAAATTTTCCGGACGCATAGGTGTGTATGCACTTAGAGTAAATGTTCTGCTGTTACCACGCCCATTTTAGCCAAAAGTTCAAGATGAACCTTAGAAATAGTCAGTAACCGAAAAATTTTAAACCTCCACCAGGATGATATATTAACTTGTACATGGTTTCTATTTGAGACAAGCTAACTTTTGTTGTTGACATCATTGTCAAAATTATTATCTACACCTTTTTTAGCTCACCTGGCCCACAGGGCCAAGTGAGCTTTTCTCATCACTTGGCGTCCGTCGTCCGTCGTCGTCGTCCGTCGTCGTCCGTCGTCGTTAACTTTTACAAAAATCTCCTCTGAAACTACTGGGCCAAATTAAACCAAACTTGGCCATAATCATCATTGGGGTATCTAGTTTAAAAAATGTGTCCGGTGACCCGGCCAACCAACCAAGATGGCCGCCATGGCTAAAAATAGAACATAGGGGTAAAATGTAGATTTTGGCTTATATCTCTGAAACCAAAGCATTTAGAGCAAATCTGACATGGGGTTAAATTGTTTATCAGGTCAAGATCTATCTGCCCTGAAATTTTCAGATGAATCTGACAACCCGTTGTTGGGTTGCTGCCCCTGAATTGGTAATTTTTAGGAAATTTTGCCGTTTTTGGTTATTATCTTGAATATTATTATAGATAGAGATAAACTGTAAACAGCAATAATGATGAGCAGAGTAAGATCTACAAATAAGTCAACTTGATCAAAATGGTCAGTTGACCACTTAAGGAGTTATTGCCCTTTATAGTCAATTTTTAACCATTTTTCGTAAATTTTTGTAATCTTTTACAAAAATCTTCTCCTGTGAAACTACTGAGACAAATTTAACCAAACTTGTCCACAATCATCATTAGGGTATCTTATTTAAAAAAATATGTCCGATGACCCCGCCCGCAAAACAAGATGGCCGACATGGCTAAAAATAGTATATAGGGTAAAATGCAGTTTTTGGCTCATATCTCTGAAACCAAAGCATTTAGAAAGATCTATCTGCCCTGAAATTTTCAGACCAGTCAGGCAACACGTTGTTGGGTTGCTGCCCCTGAATTGGTTATTTTATGAAAATTTTGCAGCTTTTGGTTATTATGTTGAATAATATTATAGATAGAGATAAACTGTAAACAGTAATAATACACAGCAAAGTAAGATCTACAAATAAGTCAACATGACCAAAATTGTCAATTGACCCCTTAAGGAGTTATTGCCCTTTATAGTCAATTTTTTACAATTTTCATAAATTTGGTAAATTTTTGTAAATTTTTACAAAATATTTTCCACTGTAACTACTGGGCCAAGTTCATTATAGATAGAGATAATTGGAAGCAGCAAGAATGTTCAGTAAAGTAAGATCTACAAACACATCACCATCACCAAAATACAATTTTGTCATGAATCCATCTGTGTCCTTTGTTTAATATGCACATAGACCAAGGTGAGTGACACAGGCTCTTTAGAGCCTCTAGTTTTGTTGTATGTTTGTTATGTATGATGACAAAAGTTTTGCGGCTTGATCCCAATAATGGCCACATTAACCTATTATGGCTGTTTGGGTTGCTAACCCACTTTTGTCAATATAACGGAACAATAAACAACTGTCATATAATTGGGAGTTTTAGCTAGCTATATAACCAGTTTCACCCATTAGTTTTTTCGGAAAATGCCTGTACCAAGTCAGGAATATGAGAGTTATTTTTTTTCACTTGTTCTGTTGATGAAGAGCGTTTGGATATGTCAGTTTTTATGGACTTTCCCTTTTTATATTTGCCTTAGAGTTTGGTAATTTTTTATACTTTTTTTCACATCAGATTATGAAAACCAATCATAATGACATATGTTTTATTTAGATGAATAGCAATGTTACTTTGTATGTGTTTTTTGGTTTTTTTTTTTACATTAAACTGAAATAAGCGTCCTTTTAAAATTCGCCGCTGCACTACATCGGGTCGTGCTAGTTGATTGTTATTGATTTTAATTTTAGGGAACTCCCTCAGGCAAGGTTGACCCTAGATGGATTTGGCTATTTTTCAGGTCCTTTTAGCTAGTGTGCTTTGTCTATATGGCTTTTTGTTTTTTCTTTGTTTACATGTTTGTTTGTTTTTATGGTGATTAGGGTTGTGACACAATGTTTGCTGCTGTGCCCCTGTTTTTGACATTTTTACCTATTGCGTCTGTTTGTATTGTTCACACATCGTTGTCAATATAATGGAATTTTATGTAACTGTCGTACAAGTGAGAGGTTTAGCAAGCTATAAAACCAGGTTTGGTCCACCATTTTCTGCATAGGGGGATGCCTGTGCCGGGTTAGGAATGTGACGGTTGTTGTCCGTTCGTTTTGTGTGTTTGAGCTTTTGATTTCGCCATTTGATTAGGGACTTTCCGTTTTGAATTTTCCTCGGAGTTCGGTATTTTTGTTATTTTACTTTTTTGTCATATAACCCTTCAACTGTTTCGGTTCTTATACATCCTTGGCCTTCAAATCATTCGGCTTTGAGCGAAGTAAAATCCAGAAAAGCGAACGAAATTTATAAAGTGTTGTTTTTATACTTTATACGTAATACTATCACATGATTTATTTAAAGACATATATTTTGGATGGTATCATTAAACAACTGAATTGTAAGAAAATCACTGTAGCTTGAACTATAATGTAATGTGTATATCGATAACAGAAGTAAGGAGTGAGTGAGTAACATGACTTATTTTCTTTTCTTTGATGCTGCCGTCTGATTATATAAATTATATGCGTCTGAAAATACAAGGCTGTATTCTAGCTTGTTAGTTATTACACGTGTTTATCTAACCATAAATACACTATAACATGTCAGTAAGTTTCTTCTTGGTTGTTGTTCTTTATATTAAAATTAAATAACTAAGCTTAAAAAATATTATGCTACATTATATAAATAACACATAGCTGAGAGGGTGATAGAGCAGATTGTAACCCCGAGAAAACATTGTCAACTGAGGCGAAGCCAAGGTTGACAATGTCTTTTCGAGGGGTAACAATCTGCTCTATCACCCTCTCAGACATGTGTTATTTAATTTATTATACTGAATGTTCTGCTATTACTGTCTACTAAATTTCAAATTCTTAGTTATAAACTATGACGTCTTGTACATAACAACCTTCCGTATTTAATAGAGCGCACACTTGATCAAGCGTCTCCGTGAAGGGTAATAGAGTATTTGCCATAGGATAGAGTAAATTGTCTCCCTCGTATTAACCAATCAAAATGTGGCATTTTGACATGAAGTATAATAAATTTATACTGTATATCGTTTGTATGTAACTAAACAGAAGATTCTTCCAGGCACTTTAAAAGGGAAATATATTAAAGCTTTAACGGAATATTGCGTATTGCTCTCTACAGAAAAAAGTAAAATAACAAAAATACCGAACTCCATTCAAAATTCAAAACGGAAAGTCCCTTATCAAATGGCAAAATCAAAAGTTCAAACACCTCAAACGAATAGAAAACAATTGTCATATTCCTGACTTAGTACAGGCATTTTCTTATGCAGAAAATGGTAGATAAACCAGGTTTTATAGCATGCTAAATCTTTCACTTGTATGACAGTCGGATAACATTCCACTATATTGACAACAATGTGTGAACAAAACAAACAAGACACAATAGGTAAAAATGTAAAAAATAAGCGTACAGCAGTCAACATTGTCTTATAATCATAATCACTATAAAACAAACAAATATGTCAACAGAGAAAAACAAAATTGCATGTAGACAAAGCACATAAGCAAAAATGAAGAGACAGGAATACAAAAAAATGACCATAGCAAAATAACACAATAACAAAAAAAAGTACCGAGCCACGCCAAGGGGATATTACCAAAAAATGGACTTAACAGTAAAGGTTGATAATTTACAAAGACAAATAAAAGAACACTATAACAAGTAATCAAGATGATAAACAACATCAGTACCTAGAATCTAATCTTCATGACCATCATGTATTATTTGTGAAGTTGATACGGAATATTTATCAACAAGGTCTTGGTATCTTCCGATAAACTTTTTTTAGAAAACGGACGAGACATTCTTTGATATAACCCTGATTCATCAACTTTCTTCTCAGACACTAATGACGTTTTATAAAGTCTGCGTAGCAGCTGCAAGCTCTTCATTACCGAATGAGTTGGGAAATGTATATCCAATATGCAGGTGAAGTTGGTATATTGCTACTAAGGTGAGGGAAATTGATAATTTCAAAATTAAAATCGTCTAATTTGTCATAGATTCTGGAACTGAGATGACCGCTTATGTCAAATTCGAGGTATAAGTCTAAAAATGAGGCAGAGGAAGCAATTTCTGTTGTTTCTTTAATTTGTAGTTCTGGAGGATAAATAAATGGAACATAATCAGAAAAGTTTAGATTCCATTAATGTACAGACAAAACTCTTTTTTTTTTTTTCTTTTTTTTTTTTTAGCGCGGAATTCTTAAGATTCTTAAATTAATTGACCTGTTTGTTACAGCCGCTGAAAATAATCAAAATGTATCTGATGATATGAGTTATAATATAAAACCAACGTCAAGTAATGGAATCTAAAAAAATGAAAATAATCAAGTTCAAACATAGTTAATATTAGTTTATCCATGTTATGTGCCATTATGCATTCTATTTTACAGCCCCGCAGTTAAATTATTAAACTTCGCCCTTCATAACAAATGGCAGTAGATGCTAGCAAAAGTTAGAATGGTGGTAACACATTTGAAAATTAAGAAAATGTGAGTATAACAAAAATGACAAGGTATGTTCTAATAGACATTTGCGAAACTAGGTCTATACCTAGGATTACACCTAGACTTACAATTACAGTCAACGAAAACAAGGGGTCATCTCAAAATATATATAAAACAACAACAGTAGAGATAGATGGTAAAGTCAAATGATTTTTTTGTTATGCATATATGTCTTTTCGACAACACACTAATGCAGCGCATATGGTCACAACAAGCTTGAATCGCTGTCTTGGATGTCGCCACAAAGTTCCTATAACTTTGTATTTTTTTATTCTCTGATGGCGTTTTCAACCTCAACTCTATAATGCGTAATAATTCTATTTAATATTCTACACTTCCTCTACATATTCTGGGGTTTTTGAACAATCTGTTATCTTGTATAAGGTGTCAACCGTATGTCTGTTTGGATATATGTTGTCGGCATTCAAAACCAGCAGAGAACCATACGCTTTTCACGAGAAACATAGTACTTCTTTTTATCTTATGGTTCTAAACATGTGTCTTACCTTATTTTAACATAGCAAAATCAGCAAACAATCTCTTTCAGAGGATGCTCTACAAGTGGTGTACTTGAAAATCGCGGGTAAACGCGACAATCAAGTTACACAATATAATTAATAAACTCGCCGCAGCGCAGTGCTTCTGAAATATTAATGTCGGGTGCCGTCCTTCTTTGACACGATTACACGTTAGCATCAGCAGCTGTGCCCTAACCAACTTAAATAGTGTGTAATGTTCTTTAACATTTTCCTGTAGCCTGATTTACATTTGCACATTTTATCCCTTTTAGTCAACCGAATAATTTTGAGGATAAACTTTGTGTTGTTAGGGACATCGTCATAAGCGCACTATATAGCACAAATTCCAAAAAAATGTACCGGTCTCGTATCAGGGGTCACTGCTCATGCGTCGAGCATTCCAGACTCACCCATGTTCATGGAAGAGAATTATCGACACAATGGAAGAATACGTCCATACTAAAATGTTTCCCAGGATCTTTGTATATATGACACAAAAAAAAGAAAAAAAAAAACGAACCGGGTTGTCACTTTTTTAATTTGAAAAGATGGATAGTAAAGTATTTAAGTGCACCTGACGAATAATTCAAATTTTATATTCGACATAAAGATGTTCATTGATCATGTTGATAACGGTGTTGATTTCTTTTTTCGTATATTTTTTTTTCTAATGATACCAAAAACATAAACAAAATTGTTTACCCAAAGCAGAAAAACTAAAAGATAATAAAAGCATTCCGAACGGTAAGTGAAATGCCATGAAGAAAAAGTAGTTCTTAAACGCCCACCGGTTGTATGACCTCATTCTCTTTAAAAAAAAAAGGAAAATTTATGTCTTAGCATAAACATGAGATATTGTCAAGATGCTCCTTAGTTGATCGCTTCTTTCTTAACACTTAGTCTTGCTGAAATTAATTTCTAATTGTCCCAACGTATCCATTGCAACGACGATTGCGAAAATTTGTTTGCATGTCTCATGTAAACTTAATTAAACGATGTTTGTACATTCTATCATACTTCGTACATTAACAGCATGTTCAACCTGGATAATGTGTACACATTTAGTACTACATATATTTCTTGAAACATCCATTGTTCAACAATAGAAAAACAACATAGGAGTTAGCCTTTGTTTTTGAATGACGGTTTATATTTGAGACGACCCAATATTTAAATGCTACCTGTAAGTGTAATTGTAATCCTAACCGTATGTGTATGACAGTGTCTTCAAATGTCTATTACCCCTTTACCTAATGATTATTCATCTTATATATAACTAGCTATTTTAAAAACCTATAACGGTTCGAAATTACTATCTTATTCAATGGCCAGGAATGGGTTTGATAATTGTTGATAATACGGTGGCATATAGTTGCTTATATCCGCTTCATTTAGACATTCTTGCATAGTTGTCTCCTTGGCAATCATACCACATGTATTTTTTTTTTGACACAATTTAATCAATTCTATTGCACCTTTGTTGATAACAATTTACCTAATCTACAGCTTCAATTAAGTGTCCCTATGTATTAGTTATTGAATATCTAGGGAAAATATTCAATAAATTATATCTATGAATTAGATATATTTATACGTTAGAACAGTTTTACATATTCAAATGTTTACCGGAATACGGTACGTTTCTTCACCTATATGGTATACGATATTATTAAAACTTCACTGAACCGCGGAAATGATGATGATCTTTGGAAGCATGACTCTTTAGACTAGAAAAGGACGAAAGAGCAGGAAAAAATCTTAAAAAAAAAAATTTGAACCGATTTGTGTCATAAATTTTGACATATTGAATAGACACTTGTCTATCATTCAAGACTTTATGGTGACCTCAAGATAAATCTTTTGGTTTTATTTCTTCTGGGTTGCTGTCTCATTGATATTTATCCCCCATCTCTGTTTATTCATAACAGAAGCATTCTATCATTACTGCAGAAAATCAATACACATTCCGATAGCAGATTGATACAAAAGTGTTAGTTCAAGTGAGTTTTGCCGACGACAGCAAATTATGAACTTTTTATTTTTGTTTACACGACTAAAGTGTAATCGAAGTCTTAACGGATGAGGTAAGAGTGTTTTGATTTCACACATTATGTATACTTCTTCATTTTTTTTTTTTAATTAGTAATGTTAATTTCTATGATCAAGGATCGAAAATACACGCGGTCTTCAATACATGTATGCCATAACGTTGCATCATGTTCTGTAATCTACTTGATCACCTCCTTATGATAAGTTTACATTGTGAACAGAAATAAACATTTTTAATACAATACTGATTCAGTGTAGCTGAAATAAATTGTAAAAGAGACCACAATAAAGTTGCTGATTTCAGTTAATACACACGAAACTGACCAATGCTGACTGGACACATGTGCAGTCGTGTATGAACGAAGTCACTGCTAATACATGTATTCCTGTATACATACATGTTCTGTATCTAATAACTATCACTTATTACACTAAGGGAATTCGAAATATTCACATGTTTTAACTTACAAACTTTTTTCATCTGAGCGTCACTGATTAGTCTTTTGTGGACGAGACGCACGTCTACCGTATTGGATTTTAAACCTGGTGCCTTTTGTTAGCTATTATTCGTGTGTTTCTTTGTCCTATATGTTCTCCCATTTATTTGTATTGTAATCCTAACATGTAATGTTGTCATTTTAATGTTATATTTAACATTGCCATAAAAGCGGGAGGTTTGGCATGCCACAAAACCAGGTTCAACCCACCATTTTTTTCTTAAAATGTCCCGTACCAAGTCAGGAAAATGGCCATTGTTATATTATAGTTCGTTGCTGTGTGTGTTACATTTTAATGTTGTGTTTTTGTTGTGTCGTTATTCTCCTCTTATATTTGATGCGTTTCCCTCAGTTTTAGTTTGTAACCCGGATTTGTTTTTATCTCTCTCGATTTATGAGTTTCGAACAGCGTTATACTACTGTTGCCTTTATTTAAGTATTATTCTCTTATTTTTTTTTCTGATTTTATTTATGTTAATAATGTCCTAGATTTCATTTTTGAAGATTTTAAAGATATCAATGACCTTTTCTTTTTTGTCAGACATATAATATGATTAATAGATGGAAAAGAAAATTATAGTTAATAGATAGTTAATATCAAAATAAGCTCCATCTTCAATTTTATAGCCTGTTACTAAACTTTAAAGACTTAGTATATGCTTATCAATGTCTTACTGATATTTCAAAGTAGCAAACTATTATTCGTTCCACTGAATCTAACACCGCCACTACTACAATTGCATGTCAAAAAGGCACAAGTAGTTTAAGAGGTCATATTTAAACTTGTCACCATTTATATGAAAATTTTTTAATACATATTTGGTCATTGTCAGACAATTTCTTAAGTAAGATAAAATCCGAATAGTGAATCTTCAAATCTTACAAGATATTATGTTAGTATATATATGTACTCTACTGGAATGAGTTTTAATTTTAATGAAATGTTACAATATTTAAGTCTCCCAAACGAAGTTTGGGAATACTTATTGTTTTTGCTCAGTTCTTATTATGGCACCCTCAACGGAGTTGGGGTGACATATTGTTATTCTACGTTTCTTTTTTTCTTATTATTATTTTTATTATTTTTATTATTCTTCCACTTTTTTTGTCCAGCTGATATCTTGGAATTGTATGAACCAATGGTCATGGAACTATATCATAATGTTACCCAGCATGTGCAGATTTGCAAACAGGGTATGGCATATTCAAGATGGCGGCCGTTGTCATGGAAACTGACAAAATGTGAAAAAAATTCTAAATTCTAAATCTTTCATTATAAGACCCAAGTGGATGAAACTTTATGGAAGTGTTACCTGATATGCCCAGATGTGCATGCAATATTAAGAAGTTCCAAAATGGCTGCCATTGTCATGGAAACAGGGCGAAAGTTTAACATTGACCCTATGTGAAAACACGTTAAAGCTGCATTTTTTACAAGAATATTGGATCAAATCTAATAAAACTTTATGAATATGTAAAATGGCATGTCCGAAAGTGGCACCTGTCTTTGGAATTTTGGAAATGGTTACCGTTACCATAGAAACAGCAAAAAATTTTAAATTGTTAAAATGCTCCAAAATTTATGAATTTTAACAACTATGTTAATAGACATCTGTAGATGCGCTCTTTGACTTTAGAATTTTCAAAATGGCTGCCGCTCGCCTGGCAATGGGGGAAGGGTGCCATCCGTTATTGCTAGCAGTTACAAATCTAGTTATTATTATGTCACCCGATCGACAATGTCGGTTGACATATTGCTTTTCCTTTGTTTCTTTTTCCCTATTATTAGGTCTTTCCTTTTTGGTGGAAAGACCTATTGAATTTCTTCTGATTATTAGGTCTTTCCACTTTTCCGTGGAAAGACCTATTGGTTTTGTTCTGAGATTTTATTTTTTTCTTCCGCCACATTTTGTTGTTGCGT